AAGACCATTAGCTCGCGCAGTGGATATCGAGGTGGGTAATGATTTGATAACCTCTCGAGTCCTTAGAAGCTAAAAAAGGCAAGGATGCGCCGCGCCTACTCTCTTTCAGATTTGTGGTGTTTTTTCAAAGCGATCTGGCCTGCATCATTGCTTACCGTGGTTAGCCGATGTAGAATGGAGAGTCTTGGAGGATGAATCTTTCATCCTCCAAGACGGGTTTGTAACCAATTAATCGGCGGCGAAGACGCGAAGGCTTAGTTTTCCGGGCCAGGAGCTGGTTGCAGTTTGGCTGGGCACTTTGCTGGTTTCCAGCGATCACTGCTGATGCCCCTTGTGGAGACCTGCAAAATTATGCAATAAGACGGGGTCGTTTACACTTGACAAGAGTCTACAGGCCGCACCTAGGTGTAGCGAGTTATTGAGAAGGAAGTAGCCGGAAGGACTAGCAAAAGTGCAAAATACCCCTTCCAAGCCACTACACCACCGCCACTCCCGATCCGAGATTTGAACCCCCAACGGTCAGGGGTTCAAATCTCGGATCGGATCCCGATAAAGGATTGATCAACGGCGAAGACTTCATCCTTTGATCCTTTGATTGCTTCACCTATATAGGAGAGGCCTGTTAGGTTCTACAGAAATAGTTTCATTTGTTTTTGTTCAGAACGCCGATGGTGTTTTGGCTTATTTGGACGCAGTGGAAAATGCAAAACGCCATCAAGCCGAAGCTGCCCGAGCTCAAGCTGCGGCGGAAGAAATTCAGAGCAGATACGATGAGCTGAACGAGCTCCAAACCAGTGTCATCAAAGACAACACAAGATTGTATGAAAGGTGGCGTTGCAACAAAATAGACATGCGATGAGAAAATTTGTAAAAAAAATCATTACAGGAATGCCGAGCTCGAAGCGCGTGCGGAGAAATTCGATGGTGAAATAAATAGTTTGAACGAAGACTGGAAAAAGAAGTTGGAGAAAGAGAAAATGGAATGGGATGAAGCGGTATGTTGATTTGACCTCTTTGTGAAACCGTGAAACTTCCGCAGATACATTGCAAAGATATCAAGGGCAATTGTACGGAAAGACTACCTCCATGCTACTGTTGATTTGACACACTACATCATAGCATGATAAAGACAAACTCTACATTCACCTCTAAAGACGGTTCTTTTCATCGTCAGGGTCCGTAACTGCAATAGCGTGCCACTTTCTCCGCCTGAAAATGCACGGGATCGGGCGCTGTATGTGTAGTGATACTTCCATCCAGTCATTCCCTACTTCGCCCACGCCCCCTATACTCGGCGGCGTGCCAGTACCTACTGTCGATGCCATGGTCTCGCAAGACAGTTTACACTCCTCGATCATTACGGGACTGTTTTTATTTCTTGTCGGGGCGGGTCAGTGCGGCTGCGTTTTCCGCGGTGCCAAAGTCTTTCTGCACCAGTTGTTGAAGTGAGCAAATGACATGACAGCATTATATCCTTCGTATTACTCGTTTTCTACCACTTTTTGTCGCATACGCGTTTCAACGAAAAGGCTGAGAACGGCCTTCAAACAGTTTGTGCGCACTCCTATCTGGCTGCGATAACGCCAACGACAGTCCGCTAAGAAAGCGAGAGTTACATACACAGCGCAGAGGAGAACAACCAGATGATGGACACAGCGGAGTAGGCAAGTCTATGGTAGTATTTGAGCGTGTGTGCGGCCGTTGGCCAGCGTAGGGGTTAAATCGGGAGATCTACCTAGGCTACTTACTAAACCTCCAGCATGATCTAACGGTCTAAGTTTCGAACCGGAGAGGCTTGGCACACGTTTGCAGTTTCAACCAAATTTCAGCCAAGCGCGACAAGCGTTAGGCATTGAAGGCGGTGTGAGTGTTACGGTTTGCTTGAAAATAATAATTTCCGAATTCAGTGCCCGGCCGTATACCGATTTTGCTGAATGGGAGTTCATTCGTTCATAAACCTCAGAAGCATTCGAATCTGCGCGAAATTAGCAAACTGATCGCGATGGTACGATCAGGCCACTACAGTATGGTGTAGCGCCTCTGTGTTGTGTTCCAGTAGCACTTGCCTTTGAACGAGCAAGTGTGGTCTCCTCTGTCCTCTACAGCAAGATCAGCATGTCGGTGTCTGTAGAACCAGCGCCGCATCAAGAATGTTATCACAAGAATGCTGAGTTGTGGGCAAAAGTCGTGCCCCAGGCGGGAGTCGAACCCGCACCTCACGCTTTCCGGGCGAGTGCGCTATCCGTTACGCCACCAGGGCCGCTTTTACCCTCTCAGCTTAACGGCTTTTATGCCGTAGCCTATCAGCACTCACACGTTTAACTTGGTGAGCCGGTCAGCCGTAATCGATGGGATATCGGCAAGAAACCGCGAGGCCTCAGGCTTCAGATGTTTTTGATGATCATAACAAGACAGCTTCAAGTCTTGTAGTTGATAGAAAGAGAAGGTCAGCGCTGAGCAGTGAAACGGTGATGTAACTGGCTCATCGTTGGATGCGCAGCATTGTGCAGACCTAGTGATTTAACCGTGCTGACACCCATGAGGAGGGAACCAGATTAGAAGTACAGGTTATTTTCTGGGCGTCGCCGCCAGGCAGTCTACCTGGCCTGCTGCCCCTCCCCTCTCCCTTCCGGTGGGAGTCACGTATCTGCTGTTGTGAGTAGTTTCTGGAAGGTGGGTAGATTGTAGTTATGCTATCGTGATGATGTTCGACAGCGGCGAGGTATATCTCCTCCCAGACAAGCCTGCTTGGAGGTAGCGCTGCTGTGTTACTTATGGTGACTAAAAACGCCACGCCTGGCTGATAATCTCAAAAAAAATGGAAAAGCTGCTAGAAGATATGAAGAATTTATTAGGATTAGAAATCAAGGATTTATTTAATTTATTAGGAATTTACCAGTAATTTCTTATTTTTCTTTCGAGAAATTTTGAATCTTGAATTTTTGGAAACCTTTGAAATTTAGCATCGAGAAATTGAGACGGAATGTGCACAAATGAAAAAGCAGCTCGTCGATCTACAGGATGTTCTAGCGACTGTTACTCGAGACGCTACCGAGAATTCGCGCAGGTCAACAGATCCACTTTCAACATATTCTTTATTATAGTTCCAAGAGTCACTAACAACAGTTCAACGTAGCTAAACTATGCACTGTACACTATGCACTGTACAATATTCTACATGCAATATATATTTGTATATTTTTATATATAATGTGATTTGGCCTAGGTAATGATTACGGTGACCAGGGGACATGATTTATGGAGACAGGCAGTGATTTATGGTGACATCCCGGATAGGTGGATGGCTTTGTTAGTGTGAGCTGGGACCGACACGATGAAGCGGCGCGTGGTGGGCGCTTCCCTACATCCAGGGTACGCCATCGTTGTGATCATCACAAGGGGGGTCGTATTTGACCGCGAGGGAGGGGGGGGGTCGTATTTGGTCAGAGAAAATTTTTTTGATAGTTGATTTCTCTTGTTTCACGGACGCTGTAAGGGGAGGGGGGTCGTACTTGGTCATTTTTGGGAGGGAGGGGGGGGGTCGTACCAACTCCCGGACTCCCAAAAAGGGGGTCGTATTTTAGTATGGAATTAGGGGGGGGGTCGTAATTTTCAGAAAATGATCACAACGCGATGGCGTGCCCTGCCTACATCACGTCCGGCCGGATTTCCTTATATTAATGTGCAGTACACGTTGATCGTACGGCTAGCGCCGGGATTGTTTCTTTGTACCATGTTACTTCCTCACTGGTGCACCCTCGATTTCCACGATGGTGAAAGAGACGCGCCAATGAAGAAGTCATAATGGTGCGCCCGATTCCTTCCAGACTGTGAGCGTGGACTGTGCCTTCGAACCGTGCGCTCTTCCCAGTGTGTCTGGTCTCGCGAGGAAAAAGCGGAAGTACTGTGCTTGCTAGCCCCTACGAATTTCCTACTACCTTTTGAGGAAAAACCGCTGAATTGAACTATCCATTACATTTTAAAGCCAGAAATAGTAAATACTCGCTCTTACTTCTGCATAGTAGTGATCTCTGAAAGATATTCTTCTTTTTCGATTAGCTCTAGAATGAACCATCGCTGTTCATACCCAAATGCTTCTAACCAGGCAGTCAACTGGTTGTGTAAAACCCCACACTAATCATTGGAATATCTTTTCATATCACTGCTTATCGAAATTTTTTCGTGAGCTGAATAGTAATGTGAACAGGAAAGGGATTCAGACCTAGCGTAACTGTTCTTCTCAGGGAACAACACGAGTTCTTTTCGGCAGGCTTTGTTTCACAAATGAACGGGATTGCATTCAGTATCTGATGTGTAATTTTCGAAAGCGATGTTTTCACCAAAGTGGAGGTTATGAAACGATAAGTGACATCACTTAGAACAAGTATGACCGTGAAGTCTTGTCGTGATTGGAATGCTACCGTAACGAAGCCTTTCATCCATCCTGGGTCGGATGTTTCATACCAGTAAGAGAGCGAAACTGACTTGCACATACTCCGTTCAATCATAAGTTACCTCTTATAATCTTACCAGTCTGGCTGACGCGCACTACTGCGCGTGGTTAAACCATGGTACTACGATAACTGACAGGATTTGTCCTGAGCACTAACACTTAGCCTAATTCCATGTTTTCATGTTTCGAGGACGACCAATTTCATCATGTTTCCCCATTTTAATGAACATTTGCCAGTGTTTGGTGCCTATCATATTTCTAAAAGCACCATTCGTTGGGGATAGGACAGCATAGCGGTGGGAAGAATCTCGATAATAAAAAAGTCGAAATCATAGTGGCTCTTATCATTCCTCACTGGCCAACAATTTCCTTTCCGGTGAAACTCGAGCGTTTAGCGGTGGAAGCAATTCCGACCGCTAAACTGAGGGATATTGCTAGGAATAGAAATTTGGCCACGATGATGTGAGCATATACGGAGTCCCAAAAGCCGTTGTCGGACACTGACAGAATTTATCTCCCACCTTTAATATTCCCTGAGCACCCTGAATTACTTGCTGGAGCAGTTCCACAGTGTTGCAACAACTCTGCTGTGAATTTTCGGGGTATCTTATCAGCTCTTATCATATCCTGCCACAAACCAATAATGGTTCCATCCTGCACACTATCTTGCCTCTTGGAACCGACGTCCCGTTGTGCTGGTCGACGTTGTGAGTTAGGTGTCTCTACCCTTCTAAGGCTCCTTATGGTATCTTATCAGCTGTTATCAATTCCTGCCACCCACCAATAATGTTCCCATCCTGCCCCCTATCTTACTACTTGTATCCAACGTCCGGTCGTTGCTCTGGCCGGTGTTATGAATTAGGTAACCCACTCTTTCTGAGGCTCCTTATGGTATCTTATCAGCTGTTATCAATTCCTGCCACCCACCAATAATGTTCCCATCCTGCCCCCTATCTTACTACTTGTATCCAACGTCCGGTCATTGCTCTGGCCGGTGTTATGAATTAGGTAACCCACTCTTTCTGAGGCTCCTTATGGTATCCCCGCCCCTTATCAGCTGTTATCAATTCCTGCCACCCACCAATAATGTTCCCATCCTGCCCCCTATCTTACTACTTGTATCCAACGTCCGGTCGTTGCTCTGGCCGGTGTTATGAATTAGGTAACCCACTCTTTCTGAGGCTCCTTATGGTATCTTATCAGCTGTTATCAATTCCTGCCACCCACCAATAATGTTCCCATCCTGCCCCCTACCTTACTTCCTGGAACCAAGGTCTCATCGTTGCTGTGGCCCGCGCTATGAATGTGGTGATCCTCCCCTTATAAGGCTGCTCGCGGTATCTTATCAGCTCTTATCAGTTCCTGCCACCCACCAATAGTGTTCCTGCACGACCCCCTACATGACTTATCAGTTTGAGCGCTCTATCACTCTTTTGAAGGAAGTTATGAATTTCCGGTCAAACACACATACAGACACACACACACACACACCAACAGACAAACTTAGCGGATTATATATAGTAGGATATTGGTGCTTGCAAAATTTTGCATTCCATTGGTGGGAGGTAGCAGAATAAATAGCGCAGAATATCACAGAATTGATCAACACTGCTCCAAATTTTGCTCTTTTGACGCCAAATCCTCGTCAAGACAACCTCATTCAAAAAAAACCCTCCGTTGCTCATCTTATTTCAAGAAAGGCTTTATGAACATCGAGTGTTTGCATTTTCAAATTTCGCCATGATTGAAAGCGTTTATGAGCAGTGTTAAAAAATCAGTCTCAATGAATACCTAAGTGAACCGCTGCCATATTTCAGTATCCTAGTCGAAGATACTTTCCTCAGCTATCGCTCCCTAGTGGGGTGTAGGATGCAACCACAATTTTTTGGCTGTGTGGAGCATCTTACTAATTTCCATTGACATGGAGACCTGCAAAATCCCCTAAGAAAGCGCCCAGCAAAGTTTACAACCTTACAGTTTAGTTCACAAGGGTTCACAAACCCTGGTGAAAGCGGTCCCAGCTAATTTTGCAAAATTTCACAGCTCCGAATGAGTCCGCAGATCACACCAAAGTGAGAACAGTGAAAAAGAAAAAAAAAATCATTGGACACTCTAAATAAGGGCTCCTTGCAGTTGACGAGCATGCTAGAGACAGAGGGTAAGAAAATAGAAAAAAAGCGTCATAGCTGACAAGGTCGTAGAGATGTAAACACAGTGCTGTTCATGTCTGAGGAGGAGCGTTACCTGTTGGGTGGGGACTACGGAAAATAGCAGCTTTTGTAGATGTTGCGTAATTCTGATTGGGCTACCTTGAACAAGGCCGTTATTCCTCTTACGCGGCAATCGGAAAACGAAGAAAATTACTGGGCATTCGCACTGTGTAAAGGACGTAGAGTTGAATATTGTCTAGCCGAAGTTGCTTCTAGTCCTGTTATTTTGGAGTATGCCTGTGCTTTTCTTCCTGACGAAACATTTGAATGATCAATCTTGCTAGCAGTGAGGTGCTTGTCCTGCATTGACATGATCCCTGTTTTGTTGCCAGCATCGAAACATCGCTAGTAAGCCGTAGTCGCTGAACTTCATTATATTTTGATCTATTTCAGGCATTTTCTCACGATATATCCAATGATCAAATGAGAGCTTATCATTTGCTAGTCATTTAAAACCGTTTGCAGCCTTAAAGGAGCGGTCCGAGATGACCTATGAAAATGAAGAGGTTATGTGGGAAGGTAGTGCGGTCCGGAGTGGACAACCCTGTGCCAGTTTCGCGGCGGAAAGTTGTACGGTAAAGGGATTAAGGCGCAAAGTTGCTTCAGTGGTACATCCCTTTTTCCAGTGACTCCGCCTCCAGACTCCGCCTCCAAAGTCGGCCTTCCAGCCAAAAGTAATGCTCCCGGGCAAGTATCATGGAGTGGATGCATTCAATGTCTCTTGTAGAGTCATAGGGTTCATTACTGGGAATCAGCCGACGGGAATTGTCCCAGCGCGCGGTCTTTTCGGTCTTTACAGTTGTTTGAGGCTAGAGGAGGCCTGACGAATGCGTTTCCAACGTTCCCTTTGGCATTTTCTCTTCATAGATGGTTCACTTGGCGAATTTTCTTCCACATTTCTGCAAAATCACCTAGGCTTTTTATCGCGGACCGTGCCTTTAACCCGTGCCAATCTCACAATTGATATATTTTGTTGGGCTATTTCCCCAGTAACATTTCGTGTCTCAAGGAGCCGGTAGATGTCTTTGGTTTCGTAGCGACCTCCTAGTGAATGTGCTTTTGTCTGTGTGTAGTTATTCGATTCGTAATTTTGGAGGTCAATAAATATTTCCACTGCGTGTGGTAGAACTCGTTTGAAGGACAATGAAGATAGGTCGGATAGCTCAACAGAAACAATTCGGATTCTGCATCGAATGGAAGTATTGTGAAATAACTTCTACTTTTTTATGCGATCGATCAAGGAGGACAAAAAGTTTTTGAAGGTCTTTTCCAGTGATATAATAACTTCAATTTGGTGAGAGAGACACGAAAGAAGGGGTGGAAAGTTCATGCAGAGCCTCGTCCTTTGGTCGTTTCGTGCTCCTGGAAGGAAGACAAGATGGGTATCATGACACTAGAGAGAAAACAACCATATGTGCAGTCTCCCTCTCTGTGCTCATCA